CTTTCCCTAAAAGCAATTTCTGGATGGAAAGATGCATGACACCTGGAAATATGGTCAGACTTGGATATATACTGAATTCAGTACACACTTTCACTTCCAACCCCACTATGGTTAACTAGTGATAATGGATTATATAAAGTAACCCTAAGATAAAAAGTTGGCCCTAATTAACTATGTGCATGACATATGCAATAACTAGACTCAAATTCTCCAAACTTTGATTTATTCAGGAATCTCATCCTACTCTCTCGCCCCCAATCAGCTCTGGGCAAAAGCATCTTATAACAAGTCTATAATATCTCATGATTTCTCAAGGATTCCTGGTCCATGCCCTAACACAGAACGGTGATGAGTGGAGATGCCCACTAACTTTTTCAGAGTGGCTGAAGGCTGTTAGGGCCTCACTAAGGAACTTCACCGAAGCCAAGAGATTCCCTCAGATTTATTTGGAATATGGTTCTAAGGCAGTATCCTTGAGCTACTGAACTAACAGGAGACTTGAATTGGATTCATGAGGCCTTTTCACTCAACTCCATACAATATTTATGAGGCTTCAAGAGATTCAAAAAAAAATAAGTAATCTAACCAAAAAAATCATTTTGGTTAGAGTTTAAAACATTTTAAAACATACCTCCAATAATCCATTTATTAGCTACCTACATAAAATCTGTTCAATAACTAAGCAGAGATTCACAGTATTTGATACTTAGTTCTAGGCCCTAGAGAAAGTATAAAAGATATCTGCCCTCGGGAAATTTATTTAGTCATTCAACAAATATTTATCAACCGTTTCTTACTAAATTCTAGGCTGGGCATAGCAGAGGTAAAGAAAATAGATAAGACCTTGCCCTCATGTAGATTACAACCTAGTGTAGGATTCCTACAATAAAGATATAATTACTGTATAACTGTAATAAGTGCTGGATTCCAGGGCAGGGAAAGGGGGGAGCTTCCCAGGGTGACTGATAATTCAAAGCTTCAGTGCCCAACCAGGTAACTTCTAGCTACATATGGCTATTTAAATTAAACTAAAAATTCAGTTCCTCCCTTGCTCTAGCCCCCTACAAGTGCTCAAAAGCCAAATGTGGCCCGTGGCTACCATACTGAACAGCGCAGAAAGAACTTTTCCCTTGTGATAAGTTCTGTTGAACATCACTGAAGGAAACACAGTGCTGCTCCAACTCCAGATGAGAAAACAATATACAGATGCCTAAAACAACAAGAAACAAACAAAAGGTAACAAACTAAGCAAGCCCATAGCAGCATAGTTAGTTATACATAATTAACCAGGGGACAGTAAGCCATAAAGTAACCAGGTATTTGTAGGTTTAAACATGAAGAAAGAGTTAAGTTGATTCTGTAACATAAAGATCAGAAGTATGTTTCAAAATCGCAGTTGTTATAAGTAATAAAAGACATCATGTAAATATCACTTTTTAAAAAGGCCTTGCTAGTGGGAACTATATCTGGTAAATCCTAAATGTCTGAAATGAATCCCACAAATAATATACTATGTGCCAAATCTTCTGTAAAATGAAATAAACATATTCATTACATTTCAAGTTCCAATCTTACAGCCCAGGTATTCTATATCAAATGAAAGCATTTAAAAATGCACATTTATGTTAGCAAAATAAGAGCTAGGAAGGTTTTGCAGCATAAAAATGTAGAAAACTAGACTTCTGCCATTTTCTATTCTCTGCTTTCACTGCATAGTTGCTACATGTCTTGCACCACATGATCTGCCATTTAGACAACTTACTTTAAATTGTGCATTAGATTCCTACATGACAAATATCAATGTGAAAGTGAAGTACAATTAAAGTATTCGGGTATGTTTCTGAGGAGGAGGGTGTTTCTCTATTGAAACATTTATACTATGATATTGCTACTATATGAACCACAGTCTAGCTGGGAGCATAGAGCTAGTTATCCTATGAGAATATCATCCTCTGATATATATATCAAAACATTGTCTCAAACAGTTTAAATTCAAATTGCCTGCACAGTCTCTGGGTGACTGAACAACCTGATATCTAATTGAAAAGAAAACTAACATTATAAATCCATCAATCTAAGTCACAAGGATGAGATCTAAACCGTCTCTCTCTCTAGGGCAGGTCTCAGCACAAGTGTTTCCCCAAACTTCCCAATTCCTACGATTTAGAATTAAGGAACCTTGGGGTAGCAAGACTGGAAGCTAAGTCATTGACTTTAGCTTTGAATTCCCCACTGGCAAAGGTTTTTTAAACAATTTAATAAGCAAGGGGCTATCTGAAGAGGCCCGTTTCAGGAAAAAGACGAAGGGCCCTGCACAGCACGCAGCACACCCATGCGCGTGGGAGGCACTCCCAGGGCGCCAGGGCAGTCAAGGTTGGGGCGGCAGAGCCGCGC